TTTCCTGAGAATTCACCATAATGATTGCCAAAGTGGTTGTACAAGTTTGCACTCCCACCAGCTATGGAGGAGAGTTCCTCTTTCTCTACATCCCCTCTAGCATAGATTATCTTTGGAGTTATTAATTTTAGCCATTCTGACAGGAGTATGATGGCATCTCAGAGGGGTTTTGAGTTGCATTTCCCTGATGGCTAAGGATATTGAACACTTTCTTATGAGTCTTTCACCCATTTTAGGTTCCTCTCTTGAGAATGGTCTATTTGGTTCTGTACCCCACTTTTTAATTGGATTGTTTGGTGTTTTGGAGACTAGCTTCTTGAGTTCTTTGTATATTTTGGAGATCAGCCCTCTGTCAGATGAGGGGTTGGTGAATATCTTTTCCCAGTCTGTGGGCTGCCATTTTGTCTTGCTGACTGTCTCCTTTGCCTTACAGAAGCTTCTCAGTTTCAGGAGGTCCCATTTATCAATTGCTGACCTCAGTGTCTGTGCTACTGGTGTAATGTTCAGGAAGCAGTCTCCTGTACCAACTAATTCAAGGGTATTTCCCACTTTATCTTCTAATAGGTTTACAGCTACAGCTTCCCCTACATAGGTTCAGTGTGGCTGGGTTTATGTTGAGGTCTTTTATCCATTTTGATTTAAGTTATGTACAGGGTGAAAGGCTTGGGTCTATCTGCAGCCTTCTACATGTCTGCATCCAGGTATGCCAGCACCATTTGTTGAAGATGTTCTCTTTGTTCCAGCATATATATTTGGATTGTTTGTCAAAAATCAGGTGTTCGTAGGTGTGTGGGTTAATATCAGGGTTTTAACCATTGGTCTACTTGTCTATTTTTGTGCCAATACCAAGTTGTTTTCAGAACTATAGCTCTGTAACAGAGCTTGAAGTCAGAGATGGCGATGCCTCCAGAAGTTCCTCTATTGTACAGGGTTGTTTTGGCTATCCTGGGTATTTTGTTTCTCCACATAAAGCTGAGAATTGTTCTTTCAAGGTCTGGGAAGAATTGTGTTGGGATTTTGATGGGGATTGCATTGAATCTGTAGATTGCTTTCGGCAAGATTGCCATTTTTACTATGTTGATCCTGCCTATCCATGAGCATGGGAGATCTTTCCATTTCCTGGTATCCTCTTTAATTAATTTCTTTAGAGAGTCAAAATTCCTATGGGACAGGTCTTTCACTTTTTTGGATAGTGTTACCCCAAGGTATTTTATGTTGTTTGTGGCAATTGTAAAGGGTGATGCTTCTCTGATTCTTTCTCCACCAATGTGTCATCAGTATATAGTAGGGCTACTTTTTTTTGAGTTAATCTTGTATCCTGCCACTTTGCTGAAGATATTTATCAGCTGTATGAGTGCCCTGGTAGAGTTTTTCGGGTCACTTATGTAGACTGTCATATCATCTGCAAATAGTGAGAGTTTGACTTCTTCCTTTCTGATTTGTATTCCCTTGATCTCCTTTTGTTGTCTTATTGCTTTAGCTAGAACTTCAAGGACAATATTGAAGAGGTGTGGAGAGAGTGAACAGCCTTTTATTGTCCCTGATTTTAGAGAAATTGCATTGAGTTTCTCTTATGCCTGGATTTTTATTTTTAGTATTTAACATGTTCTTTGACTGAGATATTTATTTCTTCTACCTTGTCTTTAAGATCTGAAATTCTAACTGGGTGATGGTGGCATGTGCCTTTAATTTCAGCACTCAGGAGGCAGAGGCAGATGGATCTCTGTGAGTTCAAGGCCAGCCTGATCTACAAAGCTACACAGAGAAACCCTGTCTCAAAAAAAAAAAAAAAAAGAAAATCTGAAATTCTATCTTCCATGTCTTTTAATCTATTGAGGCTTACATATGAGATTTTTGTTTGGCATCCTGAGTTTTTCATCCCCTTTTTATTTCATTTTGGGTTTTCTTTGGTGAATCTGTTTCTTTGTTAAATTCTGCTCTCATGTCTTGAATTGTTTTCACTCTTTCAACTCTTTGTGTTTTCATGGTCTTTAAGGCATTTTTCCTATCTTCTTTAAGGTCTTTGAACATACTAATAATTGGTGTTTTGAAGTCCTTGTCTTGTGCTCCAGATAAATTGCTTTTCTTAGAGCCTAACACAGTGGAGTGGCTGACTTCTTGAGGAATCATGTTGTATTCATTCATGTTTGTGTTTTGTTGCTGAGATCTAAGTTATGATGTTTGAGGTGTTTCTTGGTGTCAACATCTGGTGTCATCTTTGCTGGGTGTGTCCTTTGGTCCTAGCCTAGTGTAGATGTTGTGAGGTAGCTGTGTCCCAGATGAGTAGGGTTGCTGGGGGTTCGTGGTAGACTTGTTGTGTAGGTCAGTGAGGAGTCACAAGAATGGAGCTGGACTAGAAGGAAAGGATAAAAGGGACGGCGGGGAAGAACTAGAGGGATTCTGGGTCTGCACCAGGAGGCTGAGTCCCTCAGCAATTGGGGTGGTCTTGTTGGAGGGCCTCCTGCCGGCAGGCTGCAATGGAACTAAGAATAAGTATGGAGAACAAGATATTAAATTTTAAAATACAAAAGAAGTATACTAATTGTAGTGCATTCCCTGCCTAGTATGGAATATTGAATATTTGTCTTTTTTTCTGTCCACAGAAAAGAACTGGCAGAGCTCATGAATGTGGATGAACAGAAAGTGAAGGTCAGTCAGCATGGACAAGTAGTTTACTAGAGTGCTGATCTCAGTCCTGCCTCAGCACATGGGGCACCTTGTCCTAGGCATGCGAAATTGCTGTGTTTGTTCCTTGTGTGTTTTATCCTGGGAAGTAAGGTTTGGGCTATGGGACCTTGGCAAATGGAGAAGGGAAACTTTAGCTGGTTGTTTCTACCCCATGACTGACTGGCAGTCACATATATCCCTAAAGTAGCACTCTCTCTCTCTCTCTCTCTCTCTCTCTCTCTCTCTCTCTCTCTCTCTCTCTCTCTCTCTCTCTCTTCCTCTCATATAATATATAGTATTGTGTAGAACATACATTTTGTACACACACATGTGTCACAAGGAATCAAATGTTAATTATAGCTCATATATATAATTAGCATTTGATAACATTTGATTCATCACAACACACGAGAGTCCTTCACAGGGGTCTTCTTTTGGCCATCATTTTGAAACTCAGGGTAACTTGGAAATGATCATGTGGTTGCAGAGATCACATATTCTCTTGGCAAAAGATTGAATTTGAATGAAAACATGTGAGGGAAATCAAATAATTGAGCCATAAAATAGACTTTCATCAACTAAGGCCTTTTCATATTAGGTGAGACAAATGTGGAACGCGAGCTAAAGTCCGAGAGGGTGAGATTCTTTGTCTCTTTTAGGAGGTTTTGAAGAGGTGATCCAGACAGTAGCAGTTGTAAATTTAAGTTTCTAGCATGTAGGAGTCAATCCGTGGCTACAATGGGAGTTCATGACCACCCTGGGATGCATGAGACCATGTCTAAGGAAATTTTTAAGAAAAGAATGACTGTAAGCCTATGCACAGAAAGCTTAGCCCATGGTTCTAATCGGGTAAAGTTGTGCAGAATTAAGGGTGTGGTATTGTATGTTACATGATTTTTTTTGCTTTTGTGGTGGTGGCATACAAAGTAGGAATTAAGAAACGGTGGGCAACCGGGCAGTGGTGGTGCACGCCTCTAATCCTAGCACTTGGGAGGCAGAGGCGGGTGGATCTTAGTGAGTTCGAGACCAAACTGAACTACAATGCAAGTTCCAGGACAGCCAGGACTGTTACACAGAGAAACCCTGTCTTGAAAAAAGAAAAAGGAAAAGAAACTATAGGCAAGTTCATGACTATACATGACTAATAGCTGCAGCCATGCAAAACATGTGAGCATTTAAAAACTGTATTGTGGGTTCAAAATAGACTCCAGGAAGCAAATGATACTCCTTAATGTGTTTTCCCACCACAGCAGCAACTGCTATAAGTGTTAATCTAATTCCTCTCTCCCTCTGACTTCAGGATTGGTTTAACAACAAGAGAGCTAAACTGAGGAAGAACCAGAAGATACTAACAAGTAAGCACTCCGCTTCTATCAAAGAGAACCCTGCCATGAAGACTTTGGTGGAGTCCAAGAACATCATCATTCTCCAGGAGCAAGTCGGGGATGGGCTCTTCTGGTGTCATGAGAACTCTGACATCCGTGCTGGCCTCCACATCCCTATCTTTTTCCCCTTACTTTAGAAATAAAGTACAGAATTATCTATTCACTCCTTGTGTGTGCCCTCCACAGAAAAAGATATGTTTTACTCCAATTTCTACCGAAGGCAGCTCAGAGCAGGTGAGGGGGGCTGGAACACCCTGGCAGAACAAGGGAAGGCTCAGCAGCATGCATGGGCAGTACTACCCTTGCTTCACATTCTGCTGCAGCCTCCTAGCTCTCCTGGGGCCTATGAATCAGTGTCCCAGCCTCCTGACTGCCCACGTGGTCTTGGGGGAAGGGGATGTGAGCAGAATCAGGAGGCCATGAGCATGAGCACTGGGCCCTGGCAGCAGCAGTTGTTGTGTGTGTGTATAACAAGCAAACATTCAACAGATCTGTCCAGAGCACAATAAAGAACTGGAAACTCGGGGGTGGGGGGGGAGAGCTAGCTGATGGTTCTCCCTTTGCCCACTCCTCTGGCAGGAAGGCTGTAAGGAACATGCACAAACACAATTTCTCCACATTTTTATTTTGCTATTCCCTGCCCCCACTTCATCAAATTCTCATTTCATCATTTTTCACAGAACTGTTCAGAAGTGACTTCATCTTGTCAAAACATTACAGGCTTTTTTAAGAAATCCCTGTCCACTGTCTTCAAATCTCTTCAATATTGTCCTTGAAGGTCTAGCTAGAGCAATAAGACAAGAAAGGGAGATCAAGGGGATACAAATTGGAAAGGAAGAAGTCAAACTTTCACTGTTTGCAGATGATATGATAGTCTACATAAGTGAACCAAAAAACTCTATCAGGGAACTCTTACAGCTGATAAACACCTTCAGCAAAGTAGTAGGATACAAGATTAACTAAAAAAAATCAATAGCTCTACTATATATGGATTATAAATGGGCTGAGAAAGAAATCAGAGAAACATCACCCTTTACAATTGCCACAAACAACATAAAATATCTTGGGGTAACACTAACCAAAAAAAGTGAAAGACCTGTACCATAAGAATTTTGAGTCTTTAAAGAAAGAAATTGCCGGGCATTGGTGGTGCACACCTTTAATCCCAGCACTCGGGAGGCAGAGGCAGGCAAATCTCTGTGAGTTCAAAACCAAAAAAAAACCTGTCCCGAAAAACCAAAAAAAAAAAAAAAAAAGGCAAGAAAAGAAAAAATTAAAGAAGATACCAGAAAATGGAAGGATCTCCCAGGTTCTTTGATAGGTAGGAACAACACAGTAAAAATGGCAATCTTGCCAAGAACAATTTACAGATTAACACAATCTCCATCACAACCCCAGCACAATTCTTCGCAGACCTTGAAAAAAACAATTCTCAAATTTATATGGAAAAACAAACGACCCAGGATAGCCAAAACAACCCTGTACAATAACAGAACTTCCAGAGGCATCACCATCCCTGATTTCAAGCTGTATTATAGAGTTATAGTCCTGAAATCAGGTTGATATTGGCACAGAAATTGACAGGTAGACCAATAGAATCGAGTTGAAAACCCTGTTATTAATCTGCACACCTATGAACACCTGACTTTTGACAAGGAAGCTAAAGCTATACAATGAAATAAAGAAAGCATCTTCAACAAATGGTGCTGGCATAACTGGATGTTGGTATGAAGAAGACTGCAGATAGATCCATGTCTATCGCCATGCACAAAACTTAAGTCCAAATGGATCAACGACCTCAACATAAACCCAGTCACACTGAACTTACTAGAAGAAAAAATAGGAAATACCCTTTAACGAATTGGTACATGAGACCAATTCCTGAACATTACACCAGTAGCACAGACACTGAGAACAATAATTAATAAATGAGACCTCCTGAAACTGAGAAGCTTCTGTAAAGCAAAGGACACAGTCAGCAAGAAAAAACGACAGCCCGCGGATTGGGAAAAGATATGCACCAACCCCACATCTGACAGAGGGCTGATCTCCAAAATTTACAAAGAACTCAAGAAGCTAGTCTCCAAAACCCCAAACAGTCAAATTAAAAAGTGGGGTACAAAGCTAAATAGACAATTCTCAATGGAGGAATCTAAAATGTCTGAAAGACACATAAGAAAGTGTTCAACATCCTTAGCCATCAGGGAAATGAAAATCAAAACAACTCTGAGATACCATCTTACTCCTGTCAGAATGGCTAAAATCCAGAAACTGGAAGCAGCCTAGATGCACCTCAACTGAAGAATGGATAGAGGAAATGTGGTACATTTACACAATGGAGTACTACTCATCGGAAAAAAAAAAAAAACAAAGGAACATTGAAATTTGCAGGAAAATGGATAGAATTAGAAGAAACCATTCTGAGTGAGGTAACCAAATCACAAAAAGACAATCATGATTGTACTCACTCATATATGATTTTTAGACATAGAGCAAAGGATTACCAGCCTACAATCCACACTCAGAGAAGCTAGGAAACAAGGAGGACCCTAAGAGAGATATGCATGGTCCCCTGGAGAAAGGGAAAGGGCCAAGATCTCCTGAGCAAATTGGGGTGCAGAAAGGGTAGGGGAGAGGTAGGGTGTTAGTTGGGGGGGGCAGGGGAGGAGGGGAGGGAAAGGGACCTTGAATTGACATGTAAAAATAATTTTATTTCTAATTAAAATTTTAAAATGGGGGGATAAACAATCTGACTCATATTTTTCCTTCCAGATTAAAAAAATGAATATGAATTGCACCTGAAGAATGACACCAAAAATCATCCTTATTGTGCACATCCATTAAGCATAAACATATGTGAGCTCACAGCAACAGTGGACATCCATGCACATGAGCACACACCTACACATAAAAATCACCTTTCACATTCGATGGTGTATTCAGTTTTTCAAGTTCAGTTTACCTTAGATGCCTTCCAACTTTCCATCATTTTCGCTACAGTATTTATATTGGTATAGTATTTATACTGGTATCTAATGAATGATTTTCCTGAGTGATTTTCTGGCTTCTCTTGTGTGAATGAAAATTCATGTAGTACTCAGAGATTGAACAGAGGAGACAGACCTCCCCAGCAAAGTCCTCCCGGGAATTGTATGTGTTTCCTTTCCTGAACACTGCTCAGTCTCCATGGTGGACACTCTCCCGGAAGGGTTTTGATGCTGAGCCCCTCTTCTTGCCCTGAGGCTTCAGTGGAGAGTTAAAAGATCAGATTTCTTTCTATTAATCAATAGAAAAAAGGTAGGAACAGGCAGATGACACGGAAACTATGGGAACGATAGGATGCACAAGGAAAAGAGAGCAAGATTCCCTGAAATCACATCCCAGTCCATAGCCTCCCATTGTCACACCCCCAGAACTGCGGCAAGAAGACAGGAAAGCTAGGCTTCAAAGTTCAGCAACGCTGGCAGCTTCTCTTCCTGCTCAGACTTCCCATCTGAGGGAACTCCATGCGCTCAGAGTCACAAGAGGTGGGAAAGACACTGAACATTGAGCATCCACTCCAGCCCAGGTACAGCATCTCCATTTACCTGTGCTCATCTGTAAGTACACCTCCACACTGGCAGACTCCGCTGGGAGCTGGGGAAGGAGTAATAGGGAGAGGCACCTGTTCTCTGAAGGGGAGCCTGAGGGGGCCACTGTTTTCAGTGTGGCTCAGGGAACGTGCCATATGACTGGAGAGGAAGAGTATTGATTAAATCAGGGAACCTCCTAAGACTTGCTGGGCTTATCTTTGGCCCTTTGGACCTTGTTGTACCCATCTAGTCCTCCAGAGGGAGACATAAGCTGCTGCCTGGTCGCCTGATCCTGCTTTTGTGTGGTTCCCAGGCACTCAGCTGTATGGCCCCAGGCCTTTCTGCAGAATTTCTCCAGGCTTTGGCACTCCGTGGGGTCCCTCTTGGAACTTCTGCATAGGTGCAGCAAGATGCATGGGCCTGAAAGCATCAATCAACAGAAACCAGGTGACAGTTTTAGGTTCTCTTTTGTTCAATGTCCACACTTGGGGACAACTGCTGCAGGAGATGTTCTGGATAACCTAGGGTAGAGGAAAGCAAGCAAACATGGAGAGTGGGTCTTGGAGGTGTCCAGAGGGAAGTCATCTGGAGGAAGTTCCACAGACAGGAAAGAATCTGTTGGTCACTTGACCCCTCCAGCAAAGACCCCTGAAGGGCCAGGTTTGCCCAAGAACTGTGGTTCCTGAACCCTGTGCTTCTAGATATTTCATCTAAGTCATTTTTCTGAGACCATATTCCGCGGACTCATATACATAATTTTAAGTGATGTGGGGTGTCCTTCTGTATGCTGCGAACATGCTTTGCTTTTATTGGTTGATGAATAAAGCTGTTTGGCCTATTGCCAGGCAGAATATAGCTAGGAGGGAAATCCAAACAAAGACGCAGAGAGAAGGAAGGCAGAGTCAGAGAGATGCCATATAGCTGCTGAAGGAGTAACATGCCAGAGCATTTCCAGTAAGCCACAGTCTCATGGCAATACACAGATTAATAGAAATTGGCTAATTCATAAGAGAGAGCTAGTCAGTAATATGTCTGAGCTGTTGCCAAACAATTATATTTAATATTAATTTAATCCTCGGAGTGTTATTTCACAAATGGATGCGGGAACTGACGGGCAGGACAGAAAGAATCCAACTCCATGTAAGAGACTGAATTTCCTATTTGTTCTGACGAGATCGGGCACATTCAGGGTGGTGTGGCCATAGACTCCTATTTGTTCTGACTTGTATGCTGCCTTGAGAGGCAGTTTCCAGTCTAAGTTAGGATGTGTCTTTGAATTTACAGAAAACATTATTACTCCGCTTGTCTCATAGTAGTTACGAGAAGGGGGGATACTAACGACTTCTTCCTGACCCCAAACTATCTGCTCTATTATTGGACATTAGTATTATTGCCACTTGTACCAAACTTTTTTCATCACAGCATCACACACATTGACTTTTACCGTGTGAACATTAGAGAATAAAGTCATTCAAGAGATATTATTGGGATGGACAAAGCCATGTCCATACTATGTTATAAAATGCTTATAAAACTGTATGGAGTGAAAAGCATTCAGGAGGGAAATGAATTTTTAAATTACACAATCTGGGCCCTTTCTTAAGCTGCTGGTGCTTAAGAGTCCATTTGTGCTCTTGTAGTCTATTTCCTATATGTCAATGTAGTGAACACGAAGGGGTTACAACATCCAGTACACAGAGAACCAAAATATCTCCCTAATAATTGGGCAATTGTGTGCAGTGTCAAGTTGCTGTACAGGCAACGAATTCACACAGGCTTCTAGATTTCCAAGTTCAAAACATTTTGGTTTCTATGTTTGAGGGGGAATCGGAGGTGTTCTTTGAGCCAACGGACACAGGTCAATTGTTCTACAGGGTCATTGCTGTGTGGTTCTGTGCCCCAGACACCACTCCATACCTCTTTAACCTTCTCCACTCTTTGATGGACAGTCCTCAGGAAGATTCCATATGCAACCTCCAGCTACAAAAGGAGAGAATTTTCCTATAATTTCAATTCAATGCTACGGAATGTTCTGGTTTCTGTGCCTAGAGCAAGGCCTCTTTTCAAGGCTGCTAAACCCAATATGAGAGTCTTTTCTGAGGTGAAAAAAGTGGAATCTTTGTCTAGTCTGAGAAAGTAACTTTTCTGTTCACTCCAGAACTTGCCATGTGCAACTGCCCGGAGCAGAAGAACCTATGAAAACAAAAACATACAAATCCAGCAGGTCTACCCCCCACCCCTGAGGTTGGGGCCTGGAGTCAGACTCTAGGTATGGGTTAATAAAGCTGTGGGAAACCTTTCTCTTAGGTCTGTTCATTGCCCATGAACCTCCTGAAGTCTCTGCAGAAGAACAGATCACGGCACCCTCAGTGCAGCGCCTGATGCACCCGAAAGGGAAAAGGACATAGGGCAAAAAAGGCTGTCTGACAACCCAGATGTTTCTGCCTGTGTTTTGGCTGCTACATGGGTGTGTGCATATGTGCATAGGAAGTGCTTGATATGTATTTTTCTTCTGGAACCCTCTTGAATCACGGGTAAATATCCATGGACTAATTCCAAAAGGGACGATTGTTCGCGCTAATTGTAGAACAAATAATGACACATCAATTTTACAACTTTAGTTTCACTAGAGAACCTAAATGCTGGCACCACAGACACAGGTTCCTGTTTGATGTGTATTCTCCATCCATTGTCAGAGACATAAAAGAATTATTTGGGAGGCTGTTCTTCAAAAAGAGGGGGGTTTCCCCTCCCTCTTCGGGGGGGGGGGGAGGGGGATACACCACCCCCTTTCTGACTTCCATAGGTACCAGGCACACACATGATATACATAAATGAATGCAGGCAAAAATGTTCGCACACATAAAATAAAATAAATGTGAAAGTAAAATTTGAAAGAATTTCTTATTTGCGGCTAAAATTTACCTTACTATCTGGCATGCCTTTGCAATGACTTGTTCGTCTCACACGCCAACATCTCAAGAATGGAAAAATGCATTTTTCCTATCCACTAGATTTTTTTCTCCATTACTCTGCAGTTGTAGGCACAAAAAGTATCACCTGTCAATGTTAAAGCCAAAGAAAGGTGTACACTAAAATCAAAAGCAGAAAGAACAAATGCATTGCCATCATGCTGAGAATAAATAGCCAGGGTAGAAGTGACATGTGTTTCCACAGCCATCCTTGTAAAATCTGCAGCCAGAAGGGAGACAGGATGCCCTGGAGCTTCCCACGTCATGGAAACTTGTGGCTGAATTTTAGCTGAAGAAGATCTGAAAATGGGTTACAGGAGGGAATGCAGAATCGGCTAAACAAGGACCTAATCACAGGGAACCATGCCGCCATGAGATTCTGATTGCTGACCTAGGCCCTGACTTCACCAGTCAGGTATCTCATGAGCAGGTTTGCTTGAAATGCCCTCAAGCTACCTGCATGTGTCTTGTGATAAGACTTACCCTGGAGAGATGAAGCACTCATCTACTTACCCCAGATAGGGAGCCCATGATAGACCAAAGTAAGGATACCACCAAAGTCCAACTTGGTAGACCCATGGTTTTACTGGGGTTACTTACAGGTGTGAGGGGTTACTTACAGAAGCATAAATGACACAAAGACAGCTGCATCAACAAAGCCCACCAAAGCAAGGATGTCAGACAGCTCACAAAACCTGGGGACCTGTGAAGCACACTGCACAGCCTGCAGGCAGCTGGGCAGGTTGGAGCATGTCCTTCCCAGGTGCCTCAGTTAGTTAAATGCTCTTCCAGGCAGCTTGGCTGCTCTCTGTTTCTTCCAGGCAGCTGGTCTGGTGGTAGGCTTGTTTTCTTCTTTTGTCTTCTGAGAGTCTTCTTAGCAGCTCAGCTTTTCCCTCTCTGAGAGGGACTTTCAGCTTTCATTGTTTACTCTGGCAGAGAGGGGCCTAGTGACTCTGGTCAGTTTCAGGGAGTTATTTTGAGTTGTCGCCCTGCTTAAGGGGCTCCCAAGCTTGCATGGTGGAATGTTATAATCTCAGAGGGAACTGTTACAAAACAGCATGCCATTAGGAAGGTTGAGTGAAGCGGCAGTGTCACTGTAAAACCCCCTGTCTTGGACCCCTGTGTTAGTGGAGCTCAGTGGTCAGGATTTGGAGAGCCAGCTGGGTGAACAGAGGAAAGATTTCACCTTTTAAAATCTAGGAGAGTCACAGCTATGAATCCCAGTGTGGGGGTGGGGTGGGGGTATCGAGGCACTGCCTCAAGTGGCTGTGAGTTGGCAAAGATCAACCTTTGGCAAAGTTTGGTAAAGATCAAGGAACAGAACTTGCTGGAAATCTGATCTCTTTAATTCAAGCCTCCCAGTGCTTGGCTGCTGTGTGGGCCTTGACAAAGCTGAGGGCTGGAGGCAAATCAAGCCCCCCTGTGAATATCAGAAAGATAGATACTTTCGGTTGACACTTTCTTTCACTTATATGAAAAAGAAAATGTTTGAAACCTGTGCTTGGCCAATGACAATATTTCAACTTTCTTGAGGGGACTAGACAGTAAATGAGGATCTGGTATAAGCTAGGCAGGCTCCATCATACAGCACATAAATTGTAGTATGTAATGGCATTATTAGCCATTACTATTTATTATTATCATTAATTTATTGGGGCGACCCTTCCCAGTGTGGAGATAAAGGGACACTTGCAGGGGCTGGTTCTCTCCTTCTTCCACGTAAATCTAGGGGTGAATTTCAGGTCAGCTTTCTTGGTGACAAGCACCTTTACCTTCTGTGATATTTTGCTTTAATTGTCAACTTGACACAACTTACAATCACTTGGGAAGAGAGTCTCAATGATAGATTATGTACATTGGTTGACCTGTGAGAGATCGTCTTAAGTTAGTTGTTTTTTTTTTATTTAAGTGAGAAGTTTTATTAAAAGGGGGAGGGAAGGGGAAAGAAAGAGAAAAGAGGATAAGAGACAGACAGAAAGAGAGAGAGAGAGAGAGAGAGAGAGAGAGAGAGAGAATAGAGAAGATGGAGACAGGAAAAGTTCAGTTTGCCCCAGGGGAACCTCGGGGAAGAGAAAGGGAAAGAAAGAGAGCTGGAAAAGAGACCCGGAAGAGAGTGGAAAGAGAGCAAGAGAGTTAAGTTAGTTGTTATAGGAAGACCTATCCCACTTTTGGATGCACCATTTCCTAGCCAGGGGATCTTGAACTATATACAAAGGAATAAATTTCCATAAGCAAAAACAAGCAAGTAAGCATGAATGCATGCACTTCTCTCTACTCTTCACTGTGAAAGTTTATGTGTCCAGCTATTTTAAGTTCCTTCTGCCTTGACTTCCTTGCAGTCTGTCACCTGGAATTGTGAGCTAAAATAAACCCTTTCTCCCACGAGTTACTTTGTGTCAGAGTATTTTGTCACAGCAATGGAAATGAAACACCTGCTGAGATTTCTCACCAGCCGTGTTCCTATCCAGATACATATATCAAAAACATCTTACCCTAGGTAGATGCTGATGGTAGTAGGAACAGGAAGGATCCTGGGACTCAGGGAACCATGGCTGATGATCTGTTGTTTGGAACTCTCAATCTGGACTTTCCTTTTGAAATTGCGCACATGAATCTGTGCGTGTATGCATGCAGGTGCCTGTATAGGCCAGAAGACGCTGTCAAACCCCCTAGAGCTGGAGTTCCAGGAGATTGTGAGACAACATAGGTGCTGGGAAATGAACCATGAAAGAGTATGACTGGGTCCATAATTGCTGCACCATCTCCGTATGCCCTTATTCTGTATTTTGCATGGCCGCAAGAGATGTGTGTTGGTTTTGAACGTTTTGTTGTGGGAATGGCAGTTTCTGGATAAGGAACACAGACCACAAGTGGGAGATTATCTTCCCACTTGTATGCTGGCTACATACGCTTCCCCCCTCTCTTGGCATGTGGAGCTGTGAGTGCTCACTCTGGCCCCACACCAGAACCTGGTTGTTAGCAATGGCCCCTTCTTCACTGCTCTTTAATCTGTACGGAGATCAAAGAACATTTGTTGGGCTCTGACACTCCAGGCCCACTTTGTGTGGCCAGTCACTCTCCAATTTTCAGGACTAGACTAAGAATCTGTCTGCATTCCAAGGTAGTAGACCCCATGGGGTCTTTCTCGCTGTCTCCACCTCACACACCCAACTTCTGCCTGCATAGGTATCTGTCTACCCCTTTCTTCTAGGTCCTCCTCATGTCCCTAAATCCAGCATCCACCCTGGGGCTTACAACTCCAGCATCAATGTTACCAGCCATGCTTTGAGTAGAAGGATGTTGTCCTAATTTGGCTTTCTATTGCTGTGAAAAACCGTTGTGACCAAAAGGCAAGTTGGGGAGGGAAGGATTTATTAGGCTTACACTTCAGCATTGTTGTTCATCCTGAAGTCAGAACAGGAACTCAAACAGGGCAGGAACCTGGAGGCAGGAGCTGATGCAGAGGCCATGGAGGGGTGCTAACTTGCTTCCCCTCAGCCTGCCTTCTTATGGAACATAGGGCCACCAACCCAGGGATGGCACCATCCACCATGGGCTAGGCCATTGCCCATTGATCACCAATTAAGAAAATGCCTTACAGCTGGATTTCAGGAGGCATTTCCTCAACTAGGGCTCCTTCCTCTCTGATAGTAGACACATTATCTGGCCTCTAGACACTTTGCTGTGTGGACCCACGTCCTCCATCTTTCTCCAATGCCCCTACCAACCACAAAGTTCCCTAATAGCCACTCTACATGCCCTTCCCTTCATATCAGTCTTCTAGATGTGTCTCCACTGAGTCCATAGACCTGTTTACGCATCCTCTCTATTACATATTCCAGAATCCCACTTAACCTGTTTGCAAAAGAGGCTTTCAACACATGCTGCTGGATCCCTCTTTTGTAGAGTCTGCCATAGCTCACAAGTGGTCACAGCATCAAAATCAGCTCATGCCTTACATGATTCTTACGTGATCATGAGCTCTACCCTCATGCCACACACCACCATGCTAATGCCCCTTTGATATGGCCTCCCTGCTGGAACTCGGGCATAAGCCTCTCTATATACTTTCCACACTGCCTTTCCTCTAATTAACCTTGGGAAAACACAGCCCATTGCTCCCCGAATGGCCCGAACCCCAAATCCTATGTCTACTCCTAACCTGGCCTGGTGCATCTGCTAAGAATCCTTTGCCTCTCTGGCCTGACCCGAGGGGAATGGGTCAATATGCTTCATGTGCATAGGGATGAGAGAAGAGAGGAAGCCTCTTTCTAATCAGCATGGGGCAGGTATTTGTGTTTCTTTTGAAACAGTAGTACTATGGCAGAATGACTCCTAGTACCATGACTGCACCATTGAAAGAGAGGACAGTGCAAAGACCTGGGGGCAGCCTAGGTGACCGTTCACACTCCTACAATAAATGCTCAGAATGTCCTTTTTGTATATTTGCTACAGGATAACAGTGAACTGCTAAGTATTGGTGGAACTCAGATCTCTTTGT